TCTTCCTATTTCCACTGTTTCTGATGAGGTTAGCTATCATCCTTATAGTTTCCTTGTAGGTATTGTGCTTTGCTTTCAGGATGTTTTGCTTCTTTATTTTTGAATTTCTGCTGTTTGAGTCTGATGTGCCAAGGAATGGTTTTCTTCTTAGTTATCCTGTTGTGGGTACACTGAGCATCTTGGATCTGTAAGCTGATGTTTTTCATGAAATATAGGAAGTATTTGGCAATTAATTTTCAATTTTTTTCTGCTTTCTTGCTCTCCTCTCCCTCTGAGATTCTAATTACATGTTTGATAAGCTGTCCAGGATTGTTCCAAAAGTTCCTAATGCTCTGTTAATTTTGCTTCAGTCTTTTATTCTAGACTCTGTTAAGGCAGGTCTAGAGTGAGCCTTATTCTAAAGAATGGTCCTTACTTTTAAGGTAAGGCCTTTCTGATGTCTTAACTGAATGCTGGAGTGTTAATGAGGTTTCTCCACTCTAACTGTGCAGACCTCCAATGTTTCCCAGCACGGATTCATATCTAGAATCTCTGTTCCATTCTCAATGCCAGTAACAGCCACGTTCTCATGTGCCTCTATGTAATTTCACCCTACACATGTGCAGCCTAGCTCTCAACCACGGATTCACCAAGGACCCCCATGCAAACTTTCACCACCTCCAACCCCCAAAGCACAGGTTTCTCATCTCTGATGCCTTGCCTATAGAATCCATCTCTTAGCTGCCCCAAATTCTAAGATTCTTTTGTTCAATGGACAACTGTACTCTGCCTAGACTTCAGATCACTGTGTCAAAGTCAGAATATTGTACCCAGACAGAAAGCTGAGTGATCTTGGGGCTCACTTAGTAAGTTTCCCTTATTTCAGGGATTGCAGTTCTCCATGCCTGTTGTCCGACACCCGAGAACAGTTGCCTTATATATGTCATTCAATTTTTTGTTTGTATGTGTGTGTATTTTAAAGCAAACTGTTTCTAGAGAAGGAATTTCCAACAAAAATTGTTATGAATTTGCTATCTACTTCTTCAGATTGTTTTCATATAAGCTCTAGAAAAGCATAAGATGAAATGGTCAAAGTGTTCTTATGAGAAGAAAAAATAAAATTTGAAAAGCATTTTTTGGCTTGAATCCTCAAAATGACCATATTTCTATATTTGTATACCCCTTACTCTGGGGCAAGACAATCTATAAATGTTCTATATAGTGACTCATTTTCTTTCAATTGTCAGTCTTCTCTGGAAATGCTCAGATTCCATCAGTCCAAGCAGGCCAGATTTACTATTTTTGTAGCTTCTTCTAGATTTTCAATAGCAGTTTCCCTCTTTGATAGTTCAAGACCCCCTTCCTTGAGATGTCAGTGCCCCTCCCTAAATGTTAAATCCAGAATGTTTTAAGAGAAGGAATGAGTGGCTATTTCTTTTGAGTATTTTGTTTGAATAAGAAATACTAATGTTCTTTAAGTGCCTTCTCAAGCAAAAAGAGTAAGGCCAACACTCTCAACTGTCTGGAACCTCTTCACTTATGGTGTGGGGTTTTGTTTTTTGTATTTTTTTTTTGCTTCCATAGTATTACTAGACAAGTACCAAGACATTTTTTTAAGCAGGTTTCAGGCAGGAGCTAATTATGCTGACAGCCAGCTACTCACCAGTAGACAGTGGAGGGAAACCCAGCAAAAGACAAGAGATGGTGTATATATTCATCAGGCCAGATGGCCAAACCGGAAGGTTGAGCCACCTGAACACACTGTGTTATTTTATTGCCCATTAAGCAAAGTGAAATTTTGCAGTAATATGTAACAACATGTTTTTCTTCTCCCTCATTTAAAACCACCAGGTCTAAAATGTGTCAAATGAAATTTCAACTCAGAGTGCAGTGTGTGTTCCAGGAAATGTCACTAAGGGTTTTGAAGCAGCTGTCACTGTCATTGCAATTTTATGAGAGCAAGATTATAGAATTCATCAAGAGTTCTCTGCCTGATCAGATGAGCTGGATATATGTGAAATCTCTAGTGTTAGACTTTGTTTTCACTTCGACTCCAAGAATGAGACCATGAAAGTTCCCCCTAAAACTGTCCTTGCTAGAAAGTGATGTAAACAGACATCATTCTAGGCCTTCATATCACCTGAAACTGAAATAAAGCCCAAAACTCAGTCCCCTGCCTTTGAGATGCTATTGTTTTCTGTGCATGCACCAGAATTATAGACTTGGGATTTAAATTCTGTATCCCAGATCTCCCTGAAGTCGCTCTCTTTTCTCCCGCATAGAGAACACTTGTGTTCTTGTGTTCTTTTCATGTTGATGTTCTTAAAAGGATTGTTCCCGAGAGGGGCCTATGAATTGGCTTCAGGACTGCTGTGAAATGTCAAGAGGGCTCCTAGGATCTGGGTATCTTTCATGGTTCCTGCTGCTCACCATGCAGCGTGGTTTGATCTTTCTTCCCTTTGGTGCTGCTGCTTCTCGGCTGCCCCTTTTTCTCTCTCTGGTTAGCATGGGTCCTCACCAGCTTGTCATCTCAGTCACTTTAATCTTCAATGCGAATCTTTACTTACCTTTTAAGTGGCTTCAGGTACTAACTTTAGGTGAACTTCTAATGCGTTTGAAAGACTGGTAGGTTTTCTTTTTTTACACTTCCAGTTTATCGAGTTGGAAATTTAAAGTTCTACCCAAAGACCAAGAGGCTCCAAGGGTCAGATAGTGAAATGAAAGAACTTTTCTGAAGTTTCAGCAAATTCTTCTGCCCAGAAATTGTAGCGGGACTCAGTATTCCTGAGTTTGGATTCTGACTAGAATACTTACCTGGGCACTCCATTCTCAGGAGCTATTTTCCCTACTATCTCATCCCCAGTGGAATTCCAGGTTGAAGAGAGAATGAATGAGGAAACGAATGCCTAACTATTAATGTTATGTGCGAGGTTAAAATGCAGAACTTGGAATTCATACTGATACCGTCTTCATTGACTACATTAAAGTTTCTGGTAGAGATTCAATAAACTTTTTACTGCCAGCCAGACAGAATGAGACACATGCTAGGGACACCAAGATGAATGAGAAGATGCCCTTGCCTGCGAGGAGTCCACACAGAATTTAGTGGTCCAAACAAGAAGAGTCCTAAAACTGTTTTTTAATGAGTCCTTTTGACTCTTCAAGAGATAGGACTCTCCAGACAGGAAAGCCCTCTGCTGGACCATATTATTTTTATACTGCCAGATGCTTCATGCCTTCCCACCTTCATTCCAGGAGCCCCAAGGCCCAAACATAATTTGCCACATCTTTCCCTCACATGTGGAGTATTCATTTGCTCTAGCTCACTTTTCAGTAGTGAAATAGCACCTTATCTTTGCTATCTAATGCTCTGCCAGCGTTGTGCTCACTGACCGCTCTACTCCAGAGCAGGAAATTGGCTCTGCTTTCCTAGACCAACAAGGGATGCTCTGAATCATCTCAGGATTTCATAGGCTGTTTGACTAAGGAAAGCAATGCAACTTAAGAAATATCTGTGCAATGCTTGGTTAGCCAGGCACTGGTGCTAGGCACTAGGGTAGATGCAGACATGAATTTCCCATGAAGTTCATAAGAGTTAAGCCTCAGGGCCCCTCACCTGTACAGCTTTAGGAGGAGTCATAGCAATGTCCCATGGTCACTTCATACTTTTGTCTGTAAAAAGGGCTACCCAAATTGTGTATGCTTCTGAACTCACAAAATCTATGTCTATGTTTGTGTGTGTTTATAAAAGAGTCAATAGGAGATAGCCTCTGTCCTTCAGGAGCTTAATTTTAGTAAGTGAAAAAAGAAAAATAACATAAATGCAACAAAATAAGGGGACCCCAAATATAAGGCAGTCCGTCCATTTTACCACTGACAATTTTTTTGGTGAATTTTAATCTATAAGTGCTCAGATGTGGTTGAAATAATCAATAATTTCTTAATTTACTTACAACAGATATTTAAATTCATGTTACCAAATATAGTGACCCAGAAATATTACTTTTTCTACACTCACATTTCATGGGACAATTTTATTCAAACTTTTCACATGCAAATTTGACGTCAGTATCTTAATCATCACTAGAATCCATTTTTGAATCATCTAACAAAGTTTTCTTACATATCGTATTCACTGCTGACTAAGTTGTTTCAACGACAGCACTTTTTGATTCTGTGCATAATTCTGTCACTGAAAATTTTATCCTATGCCACTACAATCCACTAACATAATTTAAGAATATGATTTTCATTTATTCTGTAGATAAGTATTTGACATTTGCACAACTTATAACAATGATGTACCTTGTTTAATGACATAAATTTTTTTATGTAACGATAGCCACCATTTGCAGTTGTGAGGATGTTCCCCCCAGGAATACTCACTAAAGCTGTGTTGAATTCCTGCTTCTGCAAATGACCTTTATAAACATCAAGCACTGGCACTGAGGTTGTTTCAGGTTATCAGTGACTCTCAGACCTAGGTGTACGTTGGAATCATCTGGAGAGCATTTAAAAAGCACTGATGCCTGGCTCCACTTCCAGAGATTCTGATTTAATGGTCTGGGATGCAGCCGGGACATTGGAATTTTTTAAAGTTCTCTAGGCAATCTGAGTGTGCAGCCAAGGTTGAGATGCACTGTCTTGCCCAAGCAATCCTTTGTTAATCAACATAAAATAACTAGGAGAAGGAAGAATGTCTTAACATGAGAGACTTCATGAGGATTCAAATAATTGCTTCTTTTGAATTGAGGTAACTGCTTCTTTTCTAAGTGATAATTTAAACAAATATAAATGTCACTTATATAGACATATATCTGTATAATTATATACACACAGAAGAACTACTTTTTTATATGACGGATTTTTTCCATTTTAAAAGTTACACTTGCTCATTAAATAAAATTTAGAAAAGGTCAGACTATCTGCCTCATTTGAGGATTCAAAGACCGAAGAGACTCAGGTATGACTTCTGTTTGGAGAAACTGACATCAGAGGATTTGCCTGGATAAAGAGTGAGGATTCCTGTAAGCACAGATATTAAGGGGAGGCAGGTGTACCAGGCAAAGGAAATGAAAATGTAATACTCAAAGTCCCCCAAAGCGTGGTGTCTTTGAGGTGGTAACAAGAATTCCTTTTAAAAAACAAGACAAATGTTTTCTTGATGAACAAAGCCATATACTCTCTGGCTTCTAGAGAGGACCAGCACTTCAAGATTACTTACCTGGTAGCTTTTGGCATGGAAAGATAGACTAACATCTGGAAATGATGGTCCAGTCATCGAGTGTGTTATTTACTGCTTTATCCATGACATAAAAGCAATTTCCTGCCTGGAGAGGTCTGAGTTCATGGGTAATGTCTTTCTTTGGCCATTAGGGTATTTGACTTTCTTCTCCTTTCCTGCCCCTTTGTTTTGGTTTGTAAGACCAGTTGACAGCAAATGATACAAAACCAAGACCTGGTCATCCTAAATATCTAATGACAGTAGATGTTTCTGATTGAAATTCATTTAGACATAAGAAAAAAGAGAAAGCAAATGCTATGTAAGGTCTTTGTATTGATTTTCTTTGTAAGGGGTAGAGATAAGAATAAGGATGAAAGTGGGAGTGGTTCATGATGAATCTTGGTGTCCAACCCAGTTGGCTTCATCAGCAAAATAAAGAGGTAAAAGGGGCAGAGTTCAGCCTTTGAAAAGGTGATAGCCTGAAACAGAAAGTAATGTATGTTTGTGAAGCAGTTTACATTTTTCAAAGTCTCTTATTCAATCTTGCATGATATTCTTGTTAGTTTAAGAGATGATCCATCAAGTATCCTTATTCCTATCTCTGAGAAGAAATAGAGGTCAGAGAAGTTGAATGACTTTTCCAAGCTCACAGAGCAGGAGAGCCAAATCTCCCAACTCTCAGTTCTGTGCTTTTTCTACCACCCATAAGAGGTCCCCACAATTTCTGTTTTTCTTCTACCAGTAGCACTCGTTTAATGGATTCCCAGAAAGGACACCCATCAAAAGGAGGAGAAAACGTAGATATGGATTATTTTCAATAAACTAAGAGGTTTTCCTTTATTTTAAAAACTATGAGAGTGGGCACAGTGGTATAGTGATTAAGTTCGCATGCTCTGCTTTGGCAGCCTGGAGTTCATGGGTTCGGACCCTGGGTGTGGACCTGCACACCACTCATCAAGCCATACTGTGGTGGTGTCCCACATACAAAATAGAGGAAGATTGGCACAGATGTTAGCTCAGTGACAAGCTTCCTCACAAAAAAAAAAAAAGTATACTTATTAAAGAAAGTTTAGAAAAAACAGAAGACAAACACAAATCACTAGTTCTATTAATAGTACATTTTACTCAATTTTTTTGTATATCCTTCAGTCTTATTTTTTTCTATTTATAATTGTTATTTTTAATGTGGAATGCTACATTGTTTTGCTTTTGAGATAGCATAAGCATTTCTCCTTGATTTTACACAGACTTCATGAATATTTAACGGCTCTATAATAGTAGCTCTCATTTATGAAATGTACACCATATTCCACCCACGGTACTACAGTCTTAGTTAGATATCACAATGACCTTCTTAGGCAAGAGTTTTCATAACCATTTTACAGATAAAGAAACATAAGCAAGAGAGTAACCTCTCTGCAGACTGTAAACTAGAAGGGGTGGCTGTGGAATTCATCCCCCAGGGGTCTCCACTCTGCTACACAATTTACAACGGAGCAGATGTCCCCTGGTTTATTCAAACATCCCCATACAGTTGAACGTTTAGAATGTTTCTAATATTGCCTATTACAAATAATACTGAGATAAGTGTTTTAGGACTGGTGATACTTTCTCAACTCTATTATTAACCAAATATTTCCTTAGGATAAATCATAGAAATGAAATTCCTAGATCAAAGAACATAAACAATTTAATGTGACTTAATTGTCTTCCCCTTCCCCAAAGCATTATTTTCTTACAAAAGAAAATAATATCCATTTATGCTCCCAGCTGGGAGTCAGAATGTCATCCCACAATGCTTTTTGCCTACATCAAAGTTTAGGTCAATATTTCCTTACTTTTTCTCTGCTGTTAAATTACAGGTGAAAAGTATTAACTAATTTTTTAGAGTTTTATTGAAGTACAATTGATATACAAAAGACATATTTAATGTATGCAATTTGATGGTTTTGGACATATGCATACACCTGTGATAGCATTACCACAATCAAGGTAGTAAACATATCCATCACCTCCAAAAGTTTCCTTATGTGTCTTTGTTTTTGATGTCTGTGTAGAAAGAACACTTATCATGAAATCTACTCTCTTAACAAATTTGTAAGTGCACAACACCATACTGTTAACCATAGGCCCGAGGTCGTACAGCAGATCTCTAGAACTTACCTTGTGTAACTCCAACTTTATACTCATTGAACAACAATTTCCCGTGCTCCACCCCCTCCATCCCAGTGTAACACCATTCTATTTTCTGCTTCTATTATTCTGAACATTTTATATACTCATATAAGTGAAATCTTGCAGCATTTGTCCTTCTGTGACTGACTTATTTTCTTTCTTCATTCATCTTCCATTGGATATTTGGATTGTTTCCATATCTTGGCTATTGTGAATAATGCTGCAATGAACTTCAGAAGGAAGATAACTCTTTGAGATCCTGATTTTGATCCTTTTGGATATATACCCAGAAGAAGATTATCACATGCAAGAAGATGAAATTAGATACCCATCTTACACCATACACAAAAATCAGCTCAAAATGAGTTAAAGACTTAAACATAAGGCCCCAAACTGTAAAATTCCTAGAAGAAAACATAGGGGAAAATCTTCATGACATGGATCTTGGCGATGATTTCATAGATACGACCCCAAAAGCATAGGCAACAAAAGCAAAAATAGGTAAGTGGGACTATATCAAACTTAAAACCATCTGCACAGTGAAGGAAACAATCAAGAGAGTGAAAAGGCAAATGTCCCAAGTGGGAGAGAATATTTGCAAACCATATATCTGATAAGGAGTTAATTTCCAAAATACATAAGCAACTCCAACAACTCAGTAGCAAAAAATCAAATAACCTAGGGCAAAGGACTGGAATAGAAATTTCTCCAAAGACATACAAATGGCCAACAGATCTATGAAAAGGTACCCAACATCGCTAATGATCAGGGAAATACAAATCAAAACCACAATGAGACATCGCCTCATACTTGTTAGGAAGGCAATCGTAGGGGAGGAAAAGTATATTTTTCTTCTACCCTTCAAAGTTCTCAGCTGGGACCCCTATAACCAAAGACAGATCAACGAGAGAACAGCACACCAATTTATTTAATATGCATTTTACATGATACAGGAAACTTCATAAGGAAATGAAGACCCACAGAAACTGTCAAAGCTGAGTTTCTATGCTAAGTTTGATGAAGAGTAGTGGAAAGATATGATAAGACAAAAGGGATAAATATAGTAAACTGGGGGAAACTTAGCAAGACCGGTTCATTCAGATTCCTCTCTGTGTCCCTTTGTCTTCGGAGATAAGAATGCTTCTTTTCTCCAGGCTTAGGGAGGGCACCTCTCACTTGACGCTTTTATGACCTGCTTTAAGGGACTGTCATAAAGTCCTTCCTACACCTAACATTTCTCAAATTCTTTCAGCTTGAAATATTCAATATGCCAAAGTACCATATTTAAGGGTAGTGTGTCCTGAACCTTATCACTATCATCAAATAAAACCCAAAAGATAGATGTTGGTGAGGTTGTAGAGAAAAGGAAACCTTTGTACACCACTGATGGGAATGTAAATTGGTGCAGACAATTGGAAAACAGTATGGGGTTCCTCAAAAAATTAAAAATAGATCCACCATATGATCCAGCAATCCCACTTCTGGGTATTAGCTATTTCTTTGAAAAGAAAATATTCTGATACATTTTGGAAGACCTAAGTTGTCAGCATCAGCACTTGTATTTTCCTCCCACATACACTTTTATGTCTTTTACTTAAGATTTTTCACTCTACTTTTCTTATTGTCAGGGACAAAAATCATCCACTATTTGCAAGGCTTTATGTTTGATGATTTGGGGAGACAATTAGATACATAGCACAGCCACAGATCTGGAAGAGCTTAATGTTTAGCTGACACATGGGAAGAAAATTGACAAAACAATTGCCCAATGAACTCCTAGTGTTCAGAGGAGGGCGGGATCAAAGGCTCCCACCCCTCCGCCCCCTCTCTTCTCTCCCTCTGACACAGGCAAGTTTTCTCCCCTTCCCCAACCTCCTTCCAAACTGCTGAGTCATGTTACTGAATAATTATGAAGCAGATGCCAAATTCCAGTGAACATATATATATATATATATATATATATATATATACGTATGCATACGTATTTTTTTTTATTTGGGAGAGGGTGAGTGTGAACCGTGTGGTTGGGAAGTCTGCTCATCTTATAAGGAAAGATTCTGGAAAACTCCTTTGTATAATAGACAGTATTCACTATAAGAGTTTATTAGAATAAGCTCAGAAGCCTTCCCTAGTGAAGCATAGCCTTTAAGAAGAGCAGATTATGCCAAATTCAATTGCAAATTGAAAAGTGTCTATGAAACCACAGGAGAAAAAAGGTTGCTGGGGGAGGGTTATCCTGACTGTGGTCATTACTGAAAGCAAGGACAGTAAGTGGGGCTGTTATGATGATTTAGCATCCCAGAGCAGCCTCAGGAGAGAAGCACCCTGTGCTTTTACAAGGGCATAGCTCTGCACACAAGAAACAGCAGCTGAAAAAGGAATTACCTAACCACGGAGTGATGTCAGTTATTTTGCTGTCATTTGGATGGTGATAGCATGTGGGGTGGAGAGCGAGTCAATAAGAGAAGCAATAGGGATCCAAGAAGGTCTGTTGCTGTGCTGGATGGGTGAGGGAGCATGTGTGGAGCGGTTTTAGGAGTCAGGGATGATGGCCAGAGATGAAGTGGAGAGGACACGCTGAAGAATTCCAGTCAGAGTGGGGAAGAGGAAGAGACAGGAAGGCAAGCCTTTGTGAGGGCGGGGACCCCAGGTGTCCATCCCAGTGCCTGGCACATGGTCATGACCTCCATAATTCCTCATTCCTTGGTTTACAAACTTTTACTCATCTTTCCATCATCTGGTTGCATGTCTTAAATCTCTCTTCCTGAAGAAGCCTGTCCTGACCCACTGGGGACAGACTTGCCACCCTTCTGAGCCCCTCCTAGGATGCTATATTTCCAACACCATCACAGCACGCTTCACACAAGGTTTTCATTGTCCTTCATCCTCTCACAGCACAAGAGGGTCTTGCAAGTAGCTGTATCCCGAGGACTTAGCACAGTGCCTGACACAAAAGGGCTTAAGAAATATTTGTTGAGTAGGTGGAATGGTTTATGCAACTCAGTAATTGCCTCTCTAATCCATCTTTGTGATCATGAGACTGTGACAGCCCAAAGGGAAGGCCTTGTGGGACTTGTGTCCACACTTCAGCTCCTGGTACTCTGCCTGGGACCTCACAGGTACTCAGCGACATTACTGAATCAAACTGGACTTGCGGGAACCGGTGCCAGGCTCAGGGATGCGGCAGGGGCAAACTCAGGCTGTTGACTCTACCTTCTTTCCCTTTTGTTTTAAAATTCAAAACCCAGACTACCAAAGCAAAGTCCTAGAGACAGTTAATACCTGGGGTGCTAGTTCTGGTGAA